AGAATCCTCACTTTTCCTCCGGCGTATCTAGGATAATATACGATATATACGGTGTAACGAGGTATGTAATGGGTAATAGTGCGTAATGATATAATGCGCACATTCCTCGACGTACGTCTGCTATAACAAACATTATTAGGGAGAATGCGTCGCGCGCGCGCGCGCGCACACGTCAGGAATCGCGCTGCATCCCCGGCGCGTGGTCCTCATGATAGGATGTACGTCTTACCGTTTTTGCGAACGAGAGCATACTAACGAGGTCGCGTGTTAGAAAATAAATTATACGAGCGCATTAATTACGATTGTCGACCAGTCACGAGGCGTCCGTTTCTCTCAATCTTGCACGAATGTGACGATTCTCCGATCCTCGCGCCGAACGTTCCGTTATCGTACGGTATTTTTTTACGTGCTCCTTCTGCCGTCCATTGATGTATCCGGCGAGAGTGATCGAACGTTTCTTTCCGTATTGAGGTCGTCTTTCTAAGAAGGAATAGATACGAAAATATTTCACATTTTTGGTGACCGATATAATTCTGAAAAATAATTTTTTCTTTTTAATCGTAATATTTTTTTGTATATATCAATTGCATTTTTTAATATCGATTTAATTATTCTTTATTATAGTCTTTATTATAATATTAAGCATATGACATTGATATGAATATAATTTTACGTTTATTAAAATGTTTAGATTTAGATTTAATCCGATTTAATAAAATTACTAATTTTTTGTTTTCAATATCTTTCTTTATAATTAGTTTTCAAGAAAAATTAAGTTTACCGTGCAATAAGAATAAATCTGTAGTTTAAAAATGAACATTAATCTATCACGCTCTGGTTATAGACAATAATGAAAACATAGGACGGTACGACTTGGATGTTTACTTGATATTTGCACTGTGTGCATGTACGGAGTAGTTTGCATTTATCGCGAATGCATTCCAATGCATTTGCCTGTGTACTTGTCGAATGATAAAAGCGCAACGATAACGAGAGCACGCGTTAGAACCGAATTACGCGGGCATCCACGCTATCCCGCGCAGAGAGTCGGAGATATTGTGAACATTGTCGGTATATTACACGATAAGATACAGAAAGGGAGCTACCCTGGCCGGATAATTAGGACTCCTTTTCCATTTGCTTTCACCCTCGACTAAACGGGCTATCGTATGTAGCGTATAATTGTCGAGCGCTATAATCGCGATTTGTAAGAGAATCCGCGCGAGAATATATACTGCGGCTCGGTTATCTAAATGTTGCTGCAATTCCTATATGCGAAAACTTTTTTCAACAATATTAACTGATAACTTACGGATAGATTATAAAATTTGATGTTTGAAATGTTAAAAGAAATTAAAAGGACGGTAAAAGATGATCTTGTTTTTGACTGGCTAATGATTATGTTTAGCTCAATAAATAGAATCATATCTAAACGCAAGAAAGTTGTCATCGGGTTTATATTAAATTACTTTTACTTCTCCTTTGAAGTTTCAACGAAGGCAAATGTCTATAACATAAATTAGACAGGCTAGTACGGTTTTGCATTTCAATTTGTGAGTCGATCACCGCGCGGAATATTCGCGCGCAAAATTTTCTTTCGTTTCGTCAATAATCCATTACGCGAACGTGTCTATTTGTTCTCGAGAATTATTAAATCTATACTTAAAGGAAAAATGCAAACAGCCGAAGGGTCCGAGCAAAGGCCTTCGCGAACGATGCTCTTGACCGGCTTTAATTTCAACTTCAGTTGCAACGTCAGCCCGCGGCGGCGAGAGTGCACTCGAATAAAACGTAAATCGCGGAAGTGTGCGCTATTGTTTGCGCACGTTGTATACCCGAGCACGGTTTCATTGTATTGAAGCATTATCGGCGAGAATGATAAACGTGACGAAAGATACGGTAGATTAGTCTCTCTCCTATTGCGGACTGCGCGATAGAACGCTTTAGTAAGAAGGGAAAAATATATAAGCGTAAAATAATAATGTGAATGAAAGGAGTGCGAAAATAATTTCGTATAAATTGAATGCA